CTGATAATAAAACACAATAAAATAAATGTAAGTAATTGAAGGAGAATGCAGATGCAGTGGAACCTCGCTTAACGGGCATAATTTGTTCCCGAATTTTACTTGTAATGCAAAATATTCGTTAAAGCAAGAGTTTTTTCCCCCCCATAGGAATTTATGTAAAATAAGATAATGCGTTCCATGCTGAAATAAATACTCAAACAAATTTATAATAATGTAATTTATTATTTATAATACCTCCTTTTTCGCAAGGAAGGTGTCTAAAGTTGCTTGCTTTCGCCTACTTGTCAAAATTCGGCGTAAATGAGATACAACATTATCTTTAAATAAATTTATAGTGTGCAAAGCTACTACCTTATTAGGATGATGCTTCTCGATGTACGATTCAACAGTTTTCCTTTTTTTTTTTTTTTTTTTTTTTTCAGTACTTCCCTTATTGCACTGGAAGGTTGTTGCTTTGCTAAGACTGTTGTCTCCTCTTCCCTCTGGAAATCTCCTGCGTAGCTTTTTTCTGTTGTACAGTAGCTAATTTCTGTAGTACAGTAGCTAACTGTGGTACAGAATGTACCACAGTTAGCTCTTCAGTAGTCAGCTCCAGGTTGTGCTCTTCCACTAGCTGATCGATATCGCTGCTGTCCACTTCTAGCCGCATAATCTTGTCAGAGACGTGTTCTCATCGATTACAGGCTCCACAGGCACTTGCTCAAACCTCTCGGAGTAGCATTCGACCACGCTGTCCGGCCAAAGCTTCTTCCATGCAGAAATAAGGGTTTTGTTGGTGACCTGCTCCCACGCCTTGTCGATATCGTTTTGAGGTAGGCGATGGGCGACAATGTGAAAGTGGTCTTTCCAAAACTCTTTGAGAGTGAGAGCTGTTCTTTCAAATACTTCAAAACAACGTTCGAAGAGCGAATTTCAAATGACCTGCCAGTCTATTTGCTGCAGCAAATAATAGGCATAGTATTGGGTGGCAGGAACTGAATCTTGATGAATTTGTAGCCTTCAAGATCATCGTTTAGGCCTGGAGGATATGCAGGAGCGTTATCCAAGCAGGGAGGGGCAAATTCATCTCTAGCAGATATTTTTTAAATGCTGGCCAAACACTTCATTGATCCAATCTGTAAGAAGGCAACCTGTCACTCAAGTCTTGTTTGTTAGACGTCCACATGACATTTAACCTGCTCTTCTGGACTTTATACCTTTCGGAGGCTCTTGATTTTTCTCTTAGTAAACGACACCGGTTTAATTTCCGAATCGGCGTATGCATTTGGAAAAGTAACAGCGTGAGATGGCCTTTCATACACTTATGGCCCGGCAGGATCTTCTCCTCTGCTAATGTAAGTTCGCTTCAGCATCTGTTTCCAAAAAAGACCCGTCTCATCACAATTAAAAACCTGCTGCATCAGATAATCTTCAGAATACATAAACTTCTTGAATATATGCCAATGACGTTCTTGGCTTGCTGCTTCCCAGTGCGTCGCAACCCTGTGGATGCCAGTTCTTCTGTTAAACTCTTTGAACCACCCTGACGTGAATGCTTCTTCTTTTCCGGTAATGATTCTAGCGTCTTATTTTAATGAGGTCGGCAAGAACTAATTTCGCCATCTCACAAATTATGTTTTCGTTATAATGTTGCTATGTATTTCCTTCTCGTTGATCCACATGAGAAGCAATCTTTCAACATGATCGAGAATACTTGGCCGTTACGCAGAAATTCTTATGATATTCTTTGAAACTTCAATCTCCTTAATCTTATCCTTGCTTTTGAAAAGGTGAGAATCATTGCTCTAGAACAATTTTATGCGTGTGCTAGGTAGACAATGTCGTACATCATTCTCGCTTCTCAGTGATATAGCTTTTGATTTCTACAGTGTTTTTTCTTCTTTTCCGCTTGTCTTCTTGTGACATTTTGTTCAGGGACAAACATATAAGCAAGCTTAAATTTTTGCACTAAAATAAATAAATACATAATAATGTTAATTCAGAAGTCAAACAACAAAAATCAGCGTTCTATTTTCAAAATTTTCACAGGACTAGTTTCGATGGTTTTACCGAACCAAGCTGCAAAACCGCAAATGAACAAAATAGGAAATAATGATTAGATAAGCTAAGAAAGCCTGGACAAGAATAAGCAAGTGGCGCCATCTGTTGGTGAAACCAGAACTAAAACATAATTTCTTTAAAGGCCGAAGGCAAAGATGGATTGGAATTAGGATCGTTAACTAGAACAGAAAGATTTTTTGAATGTGAAATGCCTCTAGAAAATCCAGTGTTCCAATGGAAGATGTATTTTGAATAATTTTGGCAGCAGAAAAATTGAAAGTGTGATTTTCGGACCAACAAGGTTGAGCAACAGAAGACTTCTGTGTTTCCTTTTTTCTAACATATGCCTCATGTTGAGAATAGATTAGGTTGTGAAATTAAAAGGTTTAGTGTATCATTAAATTAGCATGCCCAAGCATTTATTTACATAGAAATTAAAATTGTTCCAGAACTGAGTGATTTTACATAGTGTTATCTATGTAAAATCACTCAGTTCTTATCTATACCTTATCAACAGAGCTGTTTTAGAGAATTAATTTTAAAAAGTACTTCGAATTGACTGAAGATTCTGAGGGGGAATTCACAGATAGATTTTTCGAACTTAACTGTGTGGTAAAAATGAAATTGGTTTCAGATCCATTTGAAACCGGTGTTACTGATGCTCCTCATATATTGCAAATGAAAGTAATTGAAGTTCAAAATAATAGAGATGAAATGATTTGCCAAGATTTGTAAATAAAATATCTTCTTATACTGATACCTCAAAAGACTCATTTCGATTTATTCCTTTATGTATTGGCGACACTATTTTAAAAATTGGAAATCTGAAAAACAAAATCAATGTCTCTTCTGATAGATGAACATATGAAACTCTTCGCTTTGTTGAGCAAGTGTACGGATAGATATTAACGATTTTCGTAAATAGAAACAGTGTTGGGCTTTGCGATGGGAAGTAAATTACTATAAAATAGTAATAAATATACTATAGTAAAAGTAAACCTGTAATATATTTGTATTAGTATATAAATTTACAGTCAATTTCTAGTATTTTTACTTTTATAACGCTATTTTAATGAATCTAAGAAAAGGCCTGTTAGTTTTACTTATTACATTAGTGTTCCCCTTCCTTTGTCTTTACATCAAACAAATGGCAAAAAAATGTATTTAAAAAATATTTTGTTTCTTGAATTTGAATGAATAAAGATGTAAGAATTGAAACTTTTCACGTGTCTAAAAATATTAACGATCAGTACTTTATATTTATATTTATTTGTATTGGAAAAACTTTTATCATCTGATATACATTTTTATAAGATTAGGACTGAAAAACCCAAAATTCAAACTGCGTGCAGGTTATGTTACGCAACCGCATATAAATCGATAAAAATGTAACACCATAGGAATATCATAAAAAATTGTCATTAAATTATGTTTGAAAATAGAAATATACACCGTATATATAAAAAAATGCCATTTTCAGGTAACAGAAATGGAACACATGGGGGGATTAAAAATTGTCCTTATTTCTGCTTTTAAAATATTGCCTATTCTGAAAAAGAGAAGAATCTCATTTTTAAAATAAAATCCCAAAACTTCAACTATTTTACATTTTGTGCTGTCGAAGCAGTGTAAGACGTGACTCCCCCCCTCTTATTTTAAGAGAATACGAGACTCTTTGATCTCGTGTGTATTTTCTGTTTTAGCCAAGGAGGTTAGAATAAAATAATAATGAACAAAATAATGTTTGTATTTGCATATTTTATAGTTTTTATACATGATTTTTTTCTTATGGAACTCTACATGTTAAATGAACTTTTTTTTTTTTTTTTTTTGAATAAAATAAAAATGCTTATGATTAGTTTTTTATTTTTGAACAAATCAGCACCAGTCAATCTTTAACAGTGAAATCTTAATGTAAAAGTAGGCAAAGTGCTATTAAAATTCCTAATACATATGTGAAATAAATATCATTTGACTTATATATGTATGAAATAAATGTAAAAACTAGACTGAACTTCCTAGCAAAAATTGAAAGATAAAATGAACTAATCATAGTTTACAAATTGAATTACTCTGAAATGCAGAGGAAAAATATATGTACAAAGGGACTGATTCCCTTAAAATGAGTTAAATGAGAAATGCGTTGTGTAATTACATGCTGTCATTAATGAATGCTAGCAATAAAGGTATTAAAAAGGAGGAAAATAAATAAATAAATACTCAAACCATTAATTGATTATATTTTAGTTATTCTAAATATATACAAGTATAATTCTCAATTTTCCATGTTAGAAATACTACTTACGTTTTGAAAAATATTAAATTGCATGAACAATGATAAAAAATAATATTTAAATTCTGCATTGTTATTTTTAAAACTCCCACAAATTTCACCCCAAATTAAATCATGTTATTAAATATTTACTTGAACAGAAAATAAAATTAAATACATAAAATATGACTTGTAATATAATATGATCACACCTTTAAAATAACGCGTTTTCTTTTCCACGATGAGCTGACCACTCCTCCTTCCCTTGTTTACTTACCGTTTTGCTTTTACAACTCAGTTAATTACGAGTATAATACTCAAACCATTAATTGAAGAAAAATCTGAGAATTATAGATGTTTTCTTCGCGCACGTCACACCGAGAAAATACTCAAACTCTTTGCTGACGGCTTTTCAAACGCACATTTCAATTATTCTACTTATTTATGCATGTTAAAAAAACATTCTTTTATATGGAAATGAAATCCGAAATGTAGACATTATTTCAATGTAACCATTCAGTACCTTATAACCCTCTCACGTCTTCACATAAGAAATCAGAAAACACACTCAAAACTTCAAGCAAGCTGACGTTTAACCTCACTTCACATAGTAAGGGAAGCGTTTTCTTGCCCTCACGAGGCGTGGCTTGATTTGCTTCCCCCGGCTTCACTCTCCTCGTATTGCGACAGCAGAGACGCCATCTCCATGTATTCTACCTCTTTGGTTTTAGCAGACGATAAGAAAATTTCAACAGCTGGTGTATACGTTACATCCTTTACGTTGGCAAAAAATTTCGCGCAAGGTGGCGCAAAAGCCCCGCTAGTGAGGTAATTCCATTCGGGACAGTATTTTAGCATCAAAAGTATTCTACAAATTAATTTTTTTAATTAGTCCCAAAAATTAAGATCAGTAACAGAAATTAATTTTATTCTCTTTGGATAATAATGGTATTTCTTTGGATAAGATATAGAATTCTGTGTTTAAATGGTCAAAATTTCAGTTTTTTGAAGTGCTTTATAAATTAAAGATACCAAAGATTTTATTGTATACTGCTCCAAACTGATAAAATTTATTAAATCCGTTGCTAAAACCGGGAGAGTTTTTTAAATGCATGTTCCAGATTGCTGTATTTTGTAATATATTCTTATATAAATTACTGCATTTTCCAACTGCATAATTATTCTTTTGTTTTAGATTGCTACATTTCTTAAATTTATTAAGCTGAAGAGGATTTCAAAGCCATTTCGCTAAATCTCGCATCTTATTTATATATTTATTGATGTAGATTATTACATTTTGTGCTGTTTTTATACACAATGGAAGCTAGGTGATAAAATTGCAAAAGTTTTACTATATTAGGCAAGAAATATTTTAATCTTTGATACTTTGACATACTATTTAATAGTATGCTACTCATTTTCCATAAGGAAATGCCTAGAAACTATAAAATCTGTATATATCGTTCATTAATAGATAATAGTTGGGCTATAATGAAAGTTCTGACCATGAACTAAATTTTAGTTTCAATATTCAGTATGAAAACAGAGCATTGCTGAAATTTAAATAACTTATGCATTTATAGCAGAATAACATATATTATACACTTAACATAAATGCATAAGTATGTAATTAAGTGTAAATTTTTACTTATTTATTTCTTATTTTCATTTTCAGAAAGCTGAAAAAACATGGTTCCTTCTCCCAGCAGAACCAGATCCAGAGGACCATCCTCTAGTATAGAGTTTGTACGACCTGATCTTCCCAGTAAATGCAAATGGCATTTGGATGTGAAGGAAGGAAGTTCTGTACATCATCATGAAACTTTGTATGCTAGTTTCATTATTTTTACTTTGCTTTATTCACTTTATAATTCAATTATTGATGACCCTTAGTATGCTAACTTTATTATTATTATTAAAGTGCTTTACTAATTTTGTAATTTAATTATTGAATGTGTACTAATTTAATTAGTATTTGTTGGTTAAAAATGCATTACACTTTTGGCTTATTGATGAGTATAGATATACTAGTACATTATCTTGGGTTATTAATATCTAAAAATCAAAGTATAATTTGTTTATTTCATGATAGTTTAAAGTTGTTAAAACATGATTTTATTCAATACCTTCTGATTATCTGAACTTGTGATTTCAATGAAGATGGAACTGCTATATTTTTGTTGTGTTTAAAGTATATGTGCAGTTATACCCATGTGCATACTATACGCGTAATTGAGTACACATAGATTTACATGTTTTATAAAAACTAAAACATCAGTGGCATAACGGCCCTAATGGGCCAAGGCCTGCAGTGCCTGAAATCTGCTTTCCCGTTGGCCCGAGGTGTGTAAGCATATACCCTGAATAAGTGGCCAGCTTGTTGCAGGGACCCTCAGAGTTTAGTTCCCAAGCAAACTTAGTACTCATTTTATCGACCCAAGTGATGGAAATCAAGGGATGAAAGGCTGAGTGGACCTTGTCCAGCCAGAACAACGAACCCTGTACCTGCGGTACAGCTGTGTGATGCGCTAGTCACTGCACCATCCGGCCTCCTTAGATGTTTTATATTTAACCATTATTTCACTGAACAGTACCAGCTGTAAAAATGTCTCATAAAATTTCTCATTTCTTATGAAAGGCTTTATTTTATCATTTATGAATAGAACTAACTGCACCTGTGAGCCATAAAGATAGGAGAGCAGAAGGTTTCACCAATTCACAAAGTTGACAATAAGTTAGTGATATTTCAGAAAGGATGGAATTTTGGCCAAATATCTAGGACAGATAGAATAAAAATTTAGCCTTTTCTTTCCCCTGTTGAAGCAAGAGACCTTAATAATGTAGTTATTCGATAGACTGCTTTTAGCTTGTTTCTTTGATGGCATTACTGAAATATTATTTTGAAATACAGTCAAATACCGAAAATCCACCAACCTGAAATTTGCCAACTCCTGAAATCCGTGTTGCCTCTCAAAATATATAAACATTCAGTTTATAGGTTCTGGAAACTGCAACATTGAGTATGAAATATCAAAGAAAAAATACTTATCGAATAATAATGAGTCATAACGGAAATACCAAATTATTGATATCGTGATAAAAATTTTTTCCACCTCTAATCTGCATCGAGGCAAAAAAGCAGACGATTCACTCAACTCTTCTTTCAAGTTCACGATTCACATTGCTGTATTTTCTGAGCTTTGTTATTTTACGAGATTATTTGGTGCTGCCTTCTTTTTTTATCCAGATATTTTGTGGATAAATTAAGAATATTTTAAATTTCACCACTTTTTAATACAATTACTGATAAGGAACGCACTCATGATTTTACTGCTTGCAACGTGGAAAAACGTAAACTCGTTGCATTGACGGTAATGCAAAAAGTGCAAATTCTGCAAAAGATGGAAGCAGGTGCTAATTCCTCGGATTCTGGTAGCAGAATCGGTATGCGATCTTTTGGCGAAAATGATTGTGTATGACCATACCCTGAAAAATAAAGAAACCTGCTAGTTTACGTTTGGACGCCATTTTGTTTTCACGAAGTAAAGGCATGTTTTTTTTTTCCCCCCTTCAACATTTTTTTCCAACAATCTGCTAACCGAATTATGCTTATGCTAGAACTTTTATGGAACAAAAGTGCTTAATCACGACGAAGATTAGGTGCGAAATTGGGAGAAAGTGCAGAATCGCAAACTGCTTGCCGCGTTTTTAAGAATTGCACATACATGGTATCCATGTACACGTTGACCTATTTTCACTTAAAAAAAAATCCCAGAATTGCACAAAAATGGCATTGCGCACACTCTTGACTTTATCCATGTACACTGCTAAAGTCCTAGCTAGTAACCTTTATCGCCTTACCAAAATGTCGCCAAACTACCTGTTACCTACCATATTCCAAAGATTAGTCGATGAAAGCAGGTGCTATTCCTCGTTTTATAGCAGAATCGTATGGAATTGCGACGCAATTGTGTATGATAGACAGAAAAATAAGGAAAAGCTGTTGAAATTTTACAGCAACAGTGATTCTAACACCGGAATCCGAAACCGGAAATCTTTGAATGAGGCGAAATCGGCAAACTTCGATGCTGTGTACGTATAATAATACAATGAATAATATAATCAATCTGTATATGTAATAATAATTTAACGCATATATTAATTTATTGCAATAATGTATATAATCATTTAATTAAATGCATCTAATATGCCTTATTTATTTTGCACTTTTAGTCTGAATATTATGAATTATCTTTTCCGTCCTGAAATCCGCAAAATCCTAAAGTCCATGCAACCTCTGGTTCCAAGCTCTGCAGATTTCTGGACTTCTACTGTATTAAAATAAATATAAATAACAAGATTACACAAATGAAAATTATTCCATTAATTAATTTAATAACCCATTAAATTTTAATTTCAGCAACTTGGTAATTCAGTAATGATAGCTTCATAAAATAAAAATACAGTAATGTTCATATTTGAATGTGCAATAAAATAATGGGGAAAAGAAATTATTAAAACAGTGGTTGTTAACTTGTTTTGCTCCTTGCATCGCTTTCACCATTGCTGGATTATCTCTCCTTTCTAAAACTCGAAAAGTACATATACCTTTATTTAGATTTAAATCATTTTAAATATTTTAAATGAAACAATAAAGAATAAAGGAAATGTTGATAAGTATCAAAACTTGAGTAAAAATATTTTTTGTAGTAGTTTTCTAAATACGTAACAGCTAAATAAAAGACTGACTGCATTTCCTACCCCTAAAACTGTGAAATCCCCCCATTCCTCCCCTCTTGTTAAGAACCCCTTGATTAAAATAACAACCAATTTTAGTGGCAATTTATTTAATTAAAAAAAATATCTAAAAGCAGTAGATCACATACTGCATCATTGCTGACTTGTGTATGCTTGTCCTTGAAATCAGCTGAGTTTTAATTGAAACCTACACCAAACTTAGGCTGCCTTTTTGTCTAATATTAGTTTCTTTTGCTATTCAGGATTTTCTCAGCATTAAAGTGTAAAAAAATTACAAAAGGAAATTAACCAAAGAACATAAAATTTTAAATATCTAATTTAAATATTAATATATTTTATATCAAAAGCATGCCATGAGTAGGTCAGTAATCTGATTTGTACATTATAAAAGAAATTTAAGTCAACTTGGATGTTTTTTTTTAATTGCATTGCAATGCAGCCTGAAAACTCCCCATAAACTTCTGGTATGTGATGTTTAGATGTTGTGACAGCTATGGTCCATGTTTTTTTTTTTTTTAATTTGTAACTGAACAAAGAAACGAGAGAGGAAAAGAAAGGGAAAAAAAAACAAAAATTTCTGTCTTGAATGCTCCATTCAGATTAAGGGTATAAATGTCATGACTGGTTTAAGCCAAATTTCGTTGCTAGGTAACCAGATCTTGCTACATCACCAAAACTGGTTTAGGGACTTGGCATAAAATTCAAAGTTTCCAACTTTATGACGAGTTGGTCTAAGAGTCGACCAATCGGAGCGAATGCGTGAAACTCGAACGGAAAAACAGAGCGAGCAAACTGTAGACACATCCACGCATGCAAAAATTTAGCTTCTCTAAAGCTGTGTTCGGACGACGGCATAAAGAGCATAGAGGCATAGTCATAAGGCATAAAATACGGGAGTTCCATTCACACCTGCGAGAAGGGGGTGTAAGCTGCGGCCAATGAGAGAAGCTAAATTTGCGCATGCGTGGATGTGCCTATAATTTTCTCACCCTGTTTTCCAGCTCGATTGATTTCCCACGCTCACTCTGCTTGTTTTCATTATTTTGTGTCATGGCTTTTTCAGCTCACCATGAAGTTTTACTGGTTCAACAGAATGCTCTTTTATCTGCCCTTCTTATAAGCCAAGAGGCAATGGAAGAAGGTAAAAAAAGAAAAAGAACGAATGGTCTAGAGATATTTTTTTGGAAAGACCAATACTTAGTTGGTCTAGAGATATTTTTTTGGAAATACCCTGAATTTTACATGAACGAAATGGCAAATATTTCTGTGCAAACAGTATGAAATATTTCTGCATTGTACTGTAGTACTTTCTATACTATAAACATGCACATGCATATTTATATGTATAAAACCTTCTTCAATTTTTAACGATACTCTAAATATGCCTAATTAAAAAAAAATCTTGAGGATAAATGACAGATAGCCTGTATATACCGTATTTGATGGCATATAAGACACACTGGTATATAAGATGCACCCTTATTTAGACGGCCACCTCACGTTTCGTAAAAGCTAAATAAACAATTATTGAATGTAATTACCTTCACGTATAAGACGCAGGTAACTTTTTTGAGACCAAATTTAAGAAAAAAAGTGCATCTTATATGCCGTCAAATACGGTAATATTTTTCCATTTTGCAGGTGTGAATGCAGTTAAGTGGCAAACAGTACTTACTATGCATTAATTTTTTTTTTTTTTTGTTAAATTTTCAATCAAAAGGAACATGTTTTTGTGCTTAGCACTCCTTATTCACTGTCACTGTCGATAACTACAGTAGTTGGCTGCACTACCAGTATCAATTATCACTAGTACTAGTATCTCACAACTGGTCACCATGACCAGCAACCAAATCACAACTAGTACAGTACTATGAAACGTTCACCCAACAACAATGTATTTTATGCTCAATCATTAAATACATTTTGCTGAGTTGCCAGTTTGTTTGTATACATCTATTTCTAATAATTTGCATGTATAAGCCACACTCCTGAATTTTACATGCTTTTTCTGAAAGAAAAAGGGGGTTACACTCGAGAGACTACAGTACATAGTAAACATTAACTTCCAGGAATTTTTGTGGATAATTCTGCAAACTGGTATGTTTACATCATATAATTCAAATTAAACTCTGTTGTGAGATGTCATAGATATAAGTTTCATCCATGTCTGTTGTCAGAAGTAATTACTTTTAATGATTTTTCCTTTGTGGACAGATTAAGACAATTCTTCACTAACTGGCATACATGAATATTAAAGCACCAAAAAGAGTTTAATTTCAACATATGCTGTCATTTCTATTTACAACCAATATCTCAGAAGTACTTTCACATTGACAAATTTAGATACCCGAGTCTTCAAATGTAACAAAATTATAAACATTCATACCTTATCCAGGAATTTCTACCAGAGAAATAGCGTGAATTTAATGATCAAAATTCCATTCAAATGATAGTAATAAAAAGTGGATAATAATAACAAATACTATTCATTAAATTATAGTCCATGTTATGAATTATGTGTGCTATTCAGTTTCATTAAAAGTAAATTCTTTTCCTGAAGAATGTTAATTAAAAAAAACAACAGAACATCAACAGGAGACAAAACTGTCTAGACTGTTGTTTTAAGGATATTTCACTACATTTTTTCCTTCTTGGAATTCATAAGAGCATTTTCTCAAAAGATTAATTTTTTATTACTTAGACAAAGCTTACACCATTGAATTGACTAAGTAAGTGAAAATAATTTTTTCTTTTTTTTTTAAAGTAATATTTTTACTATAAAAAAAAAACAGCAGATTCTTGATATTGATTTGAAGTTTTAGTAAAATTAATTCATGATGTTTGTTTGGAAAGAAGATCAGCATTTGAAGCAAATAGCAGTACAATATTTCCATCTTTTTCAATAAATTTATTCTTAAATACAAAAATAATTAAACAGGAAGAAAATGATAGTAATAATTTATACAAATAGTAATAATATATACTCAGAGATTGTAGTAGTGTAGTAGAGTATTTTAAAGAACAGAATATGGTGTAGCTAATTTAACAGTATGGTGAAAAGAACAGAGCAAAGCTTGTAGCATGGTTCCGTGATGCAAGGATTTTATTTCATATGTACTAGAACTTCTTATTAAGTAATGTTATCAACGTTCATTTAAATGAGATGTGTGACCTTCTGAAATTGTATCATCACTGTGCTGCAGTAGCTTTCATTATTTTTACTTTGGATACAGTATGCTATATTGCAGTGTGTTGCACAGTTAGGCTGAGAAATCTCTTATTATTAAATATCAAAGTATGTATATACCTTGCATTGTGGAAAAGCGGGAATGCCTAGAACATCCAGATTTTGAATATACGGTCCTCCACCCAAACATGTGCATCTTGTAGCCATAATTTTGGGTTTCATGTTTGTTTTATTTATTTATTTCAGATTTTGTGCAAATCTAATGAGTTCTTGATTAACAAACCTCGGAATTAAAAAGCAGTATGTTGCCACTCTGCAAATTTTAATATAATCCTGTTTCAAATTTAATTAGAAAACTTGCCAGTTTAAAAGAAATGAGTTGCCACTCAGCAGCAATATTTGTCATTCAAATTTAATAAAGGTAGCAATTTTATTAAATTTATGTTTAGTAATTTTAAAGAAATGTGTTATCCTGCTCAAAATGAAGTATTTTTATCTTCCACGTGCCATGTTTTTCAAAGTATAAGATATTTAAATCTTATTATTGATTAACAAAAACAGTAAAAGTAGTTCTTTTATCTTTCCTGTGATGAATTTCTGCAGTAGTTGGTCTTATTAAATGCATAACATATTTTTCTTATTCATAGTAACTATTTTAGATAGCTGGTTGCACAGGCAGCTAGTGTTGTAAAAAAATTTTATTAAGTATTAATAAGCCTAAATGTATTCTCCACTGAGAAATTCTGGATTAAATACTTACATTTTTCAGAGTAATACTTCATCAGTTTTGTGTTTTATTAAAAATATTAAATTGTACTTGACAGTTACATGTTATGTTTTGAAACTACTGGATCCATCAAACTAGCTGTGAAGCGTTGTTTTTATATGTATTATATTTCAAGGTAAACATGTTTTGAAAATAGCAAATTTATCAAATTACTTGCAAAGCATTATTTTCCCACATGTTTTATGCTTTTTTTAATAATGTTTTGATGTATCATTTATATTTGGCATTGTTTTCAGGTCAGAAAAACCAAAAATATATCCCAGTGTGTTGTCTGCTATTGGTAACACTCCTTTAATACGCCTTAATAAAATTCCAGCAGAATTTGATCTGAAATGTGAATTGTGTAAGTACTTTTATTTCAATATATGCTGCCATATTTTTTTATCCAAGATGATTTTCAGAGTGATTCATTGGGAAAATATTCTTGTCCAGTGACCAAGGGTTGCTGAAAGTGTGGTAGTTATGGGCTTACTTCATTGTGATCGCAAATGAATATATATATATATATATACACACACACACCATATCTTAAATTAATTTTAATCTATACGTTTGACGTAACCTAAAGAATTCCCCTTTTAATTTAAACAGGAATACTTTTCATAATTTATTCTTTGCCAGTGATAAAGTTTTTGCAACTTTCTTAGTTTAAACGCTGAAAATTTGCCGTTTGACTTCCCCCCCCCTCACTGTGACAGTTATTCATTGGATATGGCTGATGCAGTGGCACAAGTATCATTTAAATACCTCTCATGTTCACAGCTAGATGGTAAAATAATTGTGTTATACTGTATTTCTTAAATGTTATTCCATAAAATCTCTTAGTTTCTGTGAAATGAAAGTAAAAGTGAAAACTTTAAAATTATTACAGATATCTGCAGTAAAAATTTTGGCAAATAAAACTATATTTGGATTAGGTTGTTTTTACTACCCACTTGTGTGCTAAATTAAATTGCTTTTGTAAGTATTATCTGAATTTTGCCTGTTTATACCATGCATACATACCAAAACACATATGTAAATTTTGCAAAACTGCATGCAGGTGACCAGTGTTTGAACTAGACTTTTTGCTGCCTAGTGTGATCTTTGTGCTTTCTTAATTTTGAAACTCATTGCCTCCAAAATTCTAAAATTGTACCATCTCTGAATTCTGTCACCTGGTTTAGCAGCAGGGATTGCACTGGTTTTAGTCTGATTTTGTAGGTGACTGATTTATTAGAGCTTTATAAGATGAAAATACTATGAGCAATGACACATCTGCAACAGCCTTTTATGAAAAGAGGGAAATAGAAGAGGGGATACTGACTTTGGATTCACTTCCTCAATAATTGATTTGTGAACATGAAAACTTAAAACTGAGTTGTTAATAGTTTAATTAGCTAGGAAGGAGGAAGGTAAACCAAAAATTTTTATATCAAATAATGATTTTTAATATTAGTATTAAAATCTAGTAATAAAAGTTATAGCAGAAATACATTTGAAAGATTGCATTTTTAAATATAACTTAGCTTATTTTATTTATATTACCGCTCTATTTTCCAGTAATGTAAGTGGATGGTATTCTATGATATAGCCATCCACTTTTCTTATGCACATTCTGGCAAATTATCAATTCTAACAGCTGCTTTCATTGCACACCATGTAAAATTATTTATTTATCTTTAAATTTTATCAGTACTATCCATTATGTGTATATGTAATAAATGTTAATAATACACATACTTCTGTTAATCATACACATTGCTGACATTTATGTTATTAGTGGAATTCCTGAAATACCTAGTTTGTATAAGTTCACCAGCAGCCAAATGCTAAAATAGCTGCTCACTGCATTGAAATCTGGGCAAAATGAGATTACATGGGAGATTTTGTGGTTTTTCCAAATATGTAAAGTGAATACAAGCTAGTTTCCTCTAACAAGTATTCCACAAAGGCATTTTTCCCTATATGTTCATAAATAAATTGGTCCTTCTAACATGTACGTATGTTATGCATACTAATTTTTTGTGTGAGTAAATAAATTACACAATACCTATATCATAAATCCATGAAATCTTCAAAATATTTAGCATATTCCAATGGTTGTGCATTTTATTATTAAAAAAATTCAATTTCACCATTTTTATAGATCTTTTGCTTTTTTAAAAGTTTGTTTGCAAAATAGATATATTGCAATTATTAAGAAAATGTTAAAATAATTATTTGTAATTTTTTATCACTGTGTATTATTAGGAGATATTTTCTGTATACCTTAATCTGAATCTAAACTTTTGTTCACAGAAGCTAAACTTTCTATTAATCAAAACTTCAATTCAGATTCTGTGAATAAAAACTGCAGTTATACAGTGCATTAATTTTTTGAATTAAGAATGTTTCTAAAAGAAAAAGATAGATATATGTAAGCAATTCAGACATGTATTAAGTTTTTTAAAATATCCTTTTTTACATATTAGTTTTTAATAAATTGTATTTTCAAAATTGAAACTTTTTGATTTTGCTGAATCAATTTAATTTTTAGCTCTGATGAATTAAAGAGCTTTCTTATTAAAATGGAACTTAATTATTGCTGCTTGTTATAGTTCTCAAAATAATTATTAATAAGAAAAAATATGGTCAAATGCTTGCAATAATTGTATGAAAATATAACCAGATGTCACATATTAAATTAATAAAAAAGAAAGATTAATTGTAACTCAGTAATTCTTGAACATAGTGTTACTTTTTTTCCAGAGCAGCGACGAAATTGGTCTTTGGTTTCCTTTTTCAACCCTTAAAGTGTAATGAATTAGTATCACTAAAAAATAATAAAATGTTACAAACATATAAAATCATAAAATTTGAAATGCCTTTTTCTTTCTCTTAACATGGAACTTCTGAATATTTTTATTTACCTTAAAGTTCTCTTAAAATATATTATGTTAATCTGGAAACACCTTAAGGGTTGAAAGGTGCAATATCCCTTTATCTCTTCTCTGCAGGCATTCCCTTGAGATGAAGGTAATTTTTTAAGTTTTCTGAATGCAAAGACATAATTTCTTCTAACTAATTAATGTTTTGACTGTTATTTGAATGTTTAATGCATTTTTGAATGCTTAATGAAATTTAAATGTTTAGACATTTTCTATTTGATATTAAATATACTAATATTAATTGGATATTTTTAATATTTGTCACAAATTTGCTTTTTTGTATCTTAAGAAAAATTTACATTAAATAGCTGTTATTTTTGATAGTTTATTAATGCTTTTTGCATGTTTTGTACATGTACTCAAATATATGTGTATTCATTGGAAAAAATTTATATTTACTTAACCCATACATATTTTACTTATCATACCTGTTGGATAATGTAAACTCAAAATAAAGTACATTACACATAATGTAAACTCAAAATAGAATATTTAACATAGTTTTATTCAAGAATAAAATAGTCCCCCCTTTTTTTAAAGTCATTCAAGTAATTTGAGTGTGTTACTTTTGAGATTAGTACAGACTAGAACCATATTAAAAGTTGCAGCTGTTGGAGCTTTTGTATTTAGATTACTGGCAGCATGAATTTTATGATAACTGTGTATTTCATGTGAAAGCATTGTACAGATTTAAAGCTACAGTTGTTCTATTTCTATAATTGGATTAGTGAATATAATTGATTTGTACTTCAAAAATTCATGAGGCATTATTTATCAAATTGTATGTTTCCCCCCCCCCCCATTGTTGAATATGAAAACTGAGGTATTATTAGTGTATCTTGGGATTTACTTTGATTATTTATTGAAATCACAGCAATAAAGTGCTACTATTTCAAACTAATACTAATGCAAATCTTATACCCCCACCCCAAAAAATATTTAAAGTATTCCACTAGCAAAATTTTTTAAGAGTTTCATTATTGAAATGTAAGTTTACTTACAAGCAGGTGTGAGGTATATTATTTTTGTTGCATGTCTATTTGTCTAACAAATAGATTACAAATATACTTTCTTGTTGCAGTGTAGGTTTAATATAAAGAGAAAGTGGAAGAAAATAATCAACTAGTTGCTTTCAGGAAACTCAAATTGGGTACTTTTCCGTTTTGCCAGCGCAAGCGATAAAGTCGCCAATAATGGTACAACCGATGCCAAACGGAATATTCTCGCTGGTAACCTTTTACGCCTCATTTTCAAAACAAGTCGCAGCTTTTTCTTATCAGATTGATTGTTTCTTTCAATACTGGTATATAATTACACAGAATTTTTATCAGATAGTTCAGTTTTATGTCTAAGGCCATTTTCGGTAATTAAGTCAATTAGAATACAATCACAGCGCTTACCCGAAGCCGAAAATATAGAAAAGGTAAAGTCAAGGGTTAAATTCATCCATTCTAATGAGAATGCATTAGCGAAGTAAAGCACTGCAGTTTTACATAATTTCTGAGTAAGCTATTCGTACGAATTGAATATTTCTCTTGCATTTAAACTTGTGTTCCACATTAAGATTTAACTTGAAATTAATGTAGATGATTACTGAGAGCATTAGATTTTTGTAGAGTAGTTTACGTGAGATGAGATCGCTTGGGGTCATGTGATATGAACCAGCGAATCAGGATGTTGAACCATGTAACATAGTAAATTCTTAAATTAATGTCTTTTTACAAATTTATTGCCTTTATTTATTGGCCTTTTTATAAAATTTTAAGCGATATTAAAATGTTTATGCCTTCAAAAAAAGAATTCTTAGAACTGACATTTTTAAAATATTTTTTATGTGTATACTGTATGTTGTCCCAATAAAGTCTGCTTGGCGAGATTTGCGCCGGCGAAACGGAAAAGTACCTCAAATTGTTATAGAAATGCTGAACTGCTATGTTTAGGTTTTCTGTTGCAACACCTGTAAATAAAAAAAATTAAATGCCAGTTGAGGTCTTCTTTTTGCGTGTATTTGAATGGATTCACTTTTTAGTAGATTTCCACTCAAAGGAAAATACAGGGTGCATCTAACGAAACATCATCTAAGTTTAAAAATTAATCAAAAAAGGAAAAGGCATAGTAAATGACCTTAAAAATGTAGTACATAAGTATACAGTTTGTTTTCGTTGGTTTTAGGTAAATAGTCATTCAAATGGTACTGGTTTAGATAAGTGTTACTCATATGGTAGCTATCATTTGAGATACAAATTTGTAATTAATTTCTGAAGTTTCCCGTCACCCAGAGAAAGATTTTTGATTTTATTGCTGAAATTTCTTTGCTTCTTCTGACATCATATGCCTTGCCATTTTCATTTGCTTGGCTTATACTGGGTTGCCATGTAATTCCATTATATTGGATGGTCATATATTCATCTGATTCTCTTTTGTGACATTTTTAGGGAAGTTGGAAGGGTGAAGGCATTCAGAAGGTAAAGCTTGCAAGTTACTTTTGGTTACCAAGAACATTAATGAACCTAAGGTTGCTACAGTTAAAAATATTGTAGTGATAACTTTGAAAATCTATGGTATATCAAATACCAGTGTGCTCTGAAAAGAGATTACCATCTGAGCAATGTTAGCTTTAAAAATATGTAAAAACAAGCTATATTCCATGCACTTTCAGATTATGAAATTAAATTTTGAATAGCATTTCACAAGCTTTTTTTAGTTTAAGCTTGAGTGATCAGTTTTAATCTTGTATTAATAAAAAATGACCTAGCTTGTATTGCATGTACGTAATGTATTGATTTGTTGTGTCTATGCTGTATATCTTAGGATAGTTCTTAAATATGTATATTGAAAATATAATATATGCAGATTATTGAAAGCATAAGTTAAAATCGTTTTGAATTCTTTTTCAAGTGGCAAAATGTGAATTTTTTAATGCTGGAGGAAGTGTTAAAGACCGAATTGGATTACGAATGGTAGAAGAAGCAGAAAGGCAAGGTATAATCAAACCTGGCTACACTTTAATTGAGCCTACTTCTGGCAATACTGGTATGTATTATTTTGTTTTGTTTATTGTGTTTTAGTTGATTGTGAAAAGTTTAACAGTCTTGAAATACAAAGCTTGCAATTTAAGAAAATATTTTTAAATGTTTTTTCTAGGTATTGGCTTAGCCTTAGCAGCTGCAGTAAAAGGCTATAAGTGTACTATAGTAATGCCTGAAAAAATGAGCACAGAAAAGGTCAATATCCTTCGTGCACTTGGTGCAGAGATAGTACGAACTCCTACAAATGCTCGCTTTGATGCTCCAGAATCTCATATAAGCGTTGCACAGAAAGTTAATTGTCAGATACCAAATAGTGTCATTCTTGATCAGGTATATTAAATATTTTCAGTAGCTAATACTAGTTCATATCCTGCTTAGCTAAACTTTGTGTAGTCAAAAACCTGACTCAAATATAAACATGTAGCTGTACCACCAGACAGAAATCTAAAGCTGTGAACAGACGGAAAATTTTATGCTTAAGGACTGCTTCCATTAATATTTTTTTTTTTATTCTGTGCAATTTAAGCAGGAAATTCTTTATATTTCAGACATTATTGGGATTATTTTTAATTTATGCTTACATTTTTTTAATAAATGTGATTTGGAAGTATAACATAAGATTGTATATGTATTATTTAACTAGTTTAGTTTTAATTTTAATTATATTTTTTTGCTTAATAGAGTGTCATTATTTATTTCTATCTTGGGCCTTTGAAAATAGCTTCCATAGATTAAATGAAATAGCCCTCTAGTTCGTCTGTAGCATAGCTGCTTTAAAGGGAATTTGAGAATTTTTTTTCATTTCTTGGAATTAAATAACTAATTCAGCTAAGCTGCATTTTAGAGTCGTTTTTTATTTAACTATCTTTTACTGTTTCTGAATCCTATAAAATAAGTATTTGAAATCTTGTATTTTGTTTTTTTAAATTGTGATTATTTGAAATGTTAAAAAAATTATATTCATTGGAGAGAAAGGATGATCACATTGGTTTTGTGGACATTCTGCATGAATTTCATAATGAATTGATATGTAAATTGGTGAGGAGGATTGATAGTCACTAATTAACCAATTGAACTTTTTAATGTTTTAAAGGCAGCTGCTGCAAGCTACATGCTTCTGCTCTTCTTTTTAGCATTTCAGCAGTAATAGCTGTGCGAGTTTTGTGGTAATGTAGCTTTGTGGAACCATTTACACATCTTAAAACAGGAACACATCTTAAAAATAAATCCAAAGGGAGAAATCTAATAATATATGATATACTGATATAAGAGGCTAGTTGTGAAAATTGGATCAAAAGATACACAGCAATAACTTTACTTAAATGCTTAAGAAGAAATGATAATCATTTAACCATTTTTATTATATACTGAAACTGAGATCTCCTTTCTCATATAATGTATGGGCATAAAGAGGGCCGTAAACTCTGAAACAAAATTAGAAATGATGTATGGGCATGATATTGTAAATAATATATTATGCTCTTATAAAATCAGATCAGACATTTTTAGCCTAAAGGAGCATTAGCCCAGAAGAGCTATTAATCTTGAAACGGCATTTTGCATTGATTCGCTATAAATGGTGTATCACTTTTTAAATTGTAGCCACCAAATATTATCGCCCTGTATTATATTTAAAGAAATTAAATAATGAAGAATCTGTATGAATGTATGTATGTTTCTCACACTGTAAAAAAATAGTGGTACCTAGAGCCCTCAAATTTTGAATAACCTGAATTTGAATTAGTTTTATTATCTACTTCGTATTTTGTAAAACTTTAACAAATTTCTTATTAACAAACCCAATGATTTCAAAGTGAGCAATGGCAACACTCTATGGGAATAAAAACATTTTTATCTCCAGCGTGTGAGACTTTGTATCAGAAATTCTCAAGTTATGCTGTTTTTAAATATTTTTTTATATTGCTGTTGAATTGAAATTTATGCAGTTTAGTGTACAGAACATGATATTTAATAAATAAAGCTAACACACAAAATGTTTAAAAAGAAAAAAACTTTTGGCTGTAATATAAAATAAGAAATCTTTCAGATTTTTTTTTTATTTCATTTTATTTGAAATTTTAATCCTTAACCATGAGATCACGTGATCCATTAGACTGAAATAAATAGCAATTTACTGAATTTATCTTTTGAAATCTTTTCTATACTAATTATTTTAAACTGTAAATCCTTTTATTAATTATCATTGTAGAAATAATTTTAAAATTTGTAAATTTTACCTGTTGCTTGAATGTGTGTTATGTTATTACAGTATCGCAATCCTGGAAATCCTCTAGCTCATTATGATACAACTGCTGAGGAAATTCTTACTCAGTGCGACAATAAAATTGATATGATTGTTATGGGTGCAGGAACTGGTGGAACTATAACTGGTGTTGGCCGTAAGATTAAAGAAAGATGCCCGAACTGCAAGGTAAATATGGATAATGTTTTCCTTATAACAAACAGTAAGAGAAACCCTTTTTACAGTACCTCATTTTATTGCAGATTCAATGTTGAATTAAATTCTCAGATTTGTATTCCTTTCTTATAGTGTAAATCCAAAAATATTATTAAACAATGTAATTTCTCATTAATGCTGTGTAAATCATGTTTAAGGCTATGAGCATACTTAGTTCTTTCTTTAAAATATTCAGAATTTTTTTTTTTGATAGGTTGTTGGTGTTGATCCTTATGGTTCTATATTAGCAGAACCTGAAATTTTGAATAAAACTGATAAAACTTCTTATGAAGTGGAAGGAATAGGATATGATTTTGTACCAACAGTTCTTGACCGCTCAGTTAGTAATGTTTAAAATTATTATTTTGTTTCATTTCTAATTTTGCATTTTTATGAGACTTTTGTTGTATTAGTTATATTATGATGTTAAATTTTATTTCAGATGTTATGGATATGGTAATTACTATTTTTAAATTTTAATTTACTGAAATTAATTACATTAATGATGTTAAATTTTATTTCAGATGTTATAGATATGATAATTACTGTTGTTAAATTTTAATTTACTGAAATAAATTTTTATATTAAACATGAACTTTTAAGTTTTCCTTCTAATTATTCTGCAGTAAAATAATATTTTTTTAATAACCAGATTGTTGACAGATGGATAAAAACAGATGACAAAGAGTCTTTTCAAATGGCTCGGATGTTAATTAAAAAGGAAGGACTGCTATGTGGTATGTTGTTTTAAAATAATTTTGCAGGTTGCAATTCAGGCATATTATAATGTGAGATTGTGTATCTAGTGATCAAATGTTATATATCTTTCCTCTTTGTATTTGTGTCACTTATTGCCGAGTATCTTTAGAGATTCAGTATAACATCGTTAACGTCTTTGACCCAAGATCAGTTTTGTTAAGTCTAAAGTATGTTTAGTAACACATTTTTTCATATATCCTTTTTTTGGCTTCACTTTGATGTTAAAATATATTAAAAAAATTTATATTTAAAGATAGAATTCTTATTTATTAAAAATTTTTATGATGTGAATTTCCTCATAGTAAAATAGTAGTATGTTAATTTGAAAAAGAATGATTCTTAAAGATGATTCTTATGTTCTATATCCTTTTTCAATATTTTCTAAAAGATGATTCTTATATCCTTTTACAAAAGATATTCTTATTGATATTTTATTAATCTGCAGGATTTATGAGTATATTTTGTTAAAAAAATTTAGCTTTTTAAAAATATTTTTTCTGTTTTGGATTGGCTGCTTTTGCAACTATTTAATATTAGTTACCTGAGTTAGCTCTGTTGTGAAAATATGAAAGATGAAGCTAATTGAAACAGATAAGTGCATATGATTTAACAAAGTATAAATTTACTATCAAAAATTGGAAGTATATTATGTTTAGTTATCTTCCCTTCGCATCTTGTTTTTAAAGTTTATTGTAACTAGAACATTATTTTTAAACATGCTAATTTTATGAGTAGCATGCAATTTAAAACGATCATTTTTATAACTCTGCAGGAGGTAGCAGTGGAAGTGCATTAAGTGCAGCCTTAAAAGTAGCTAAAGAATTAAAAGAAGGTCAAAGATGTGTTGTTATACTTCCTGATGGTGTGCGCAATTATATGACAAAGTTCCTCACCGATAGTTGGTTATCTGAAAGAGATTTTATTGACATTCATTCTGAGATGAGTGCTAAACACTGGTAAGTTCTTTTAATTTTTGAGTAATTACAGTAAAACCTCTCGTGATGACTACCATCCTTCAAAGTTAAACACTTCTGAAAGTAATTAATATTTCAAAGAATATTATTTTAAAATAAATGAATTTAACATCACCAATAATAGAGTTTTCTGAAGAGACTAACTATGTAGAAGACTAAATATGTTTCAAACTATGAGTGGGAATAGTCTTAGAGGGGTTCTACTATATGTGAATCAAAATTAAAATTTTTAAAACTGATTTTTTTAAAATTTACTGATTTTCTGAATTTTTCTTTTTCTTTTCCTTAAGCAATGCAGGTTTATTCTTCTGTTATATATGATTCCAAGATTTTTACTGTGTTTCATTCTTTGATTATTTGCTTTCATCTGGTTTCTTTCAAACAATTAGTTTTTTTGCTGCCATTTAACATTCATAATTTTTCATGTGTTGTAACTTTGCTTGACTAGATTTATAACAGATAAAAATAAAATGGCTGGGTAAAGAGTTGGTATATGCAGTTTGCATCAATTTTATCTTTCTCATGATGACAGCAATCATGTCCCATTTATCCTTGCTCACTAGTGAATGAAAGAGCTCTATAATATCTGCATTCTAATGATAAATTACCAGTACAACATTGGACACTTACTATTTCATGCATTAAGGTACTCATGCTTATTCCATGTGCATGCACAGTTTGTTGACTCTGTAAGACGAACAATGTTGATGACTGATCAGCTGATAATCATCTTGATAAAATATAAATTAACTGGATTTAGAATTTAGAACCTATAATTTTGCCTATGATAGTCTCTTCTCTTACAATTAAAATAATCCATTTTAGATATTATTGATTTAATTAGTTGTTCAGATCCAGTTTTAAAAAAAGAGGAAAAATGAAAGACAAAGCTTTTTAATCAGCAAGCAGATTTAATGTCAGAATCGTGCGGTATAGATAAACACAAAAGGCTCCAGATTGAAAAATTAGGGTCCTGACTGCAGTTATTTTTTTTTTAATATCATATGAAACGATTTTATAAATGTGAATATGGTGTAACTTGTAGGTGAGTCTGTTTGGAGAAAATATTATTTTTCTTTTGAGGAAAAGTTAAATCATGCATTTGATAGCAATGATTTTAACTGCTTCCATTCAAGTATTTTTGAAAAAAATTCCAAAAAATCATCACTTTTTAAAATTTTATTATTAAATAAAAGGAAACGAAACGAAACAAAATATGTAAGTTTTAAGTTACCGTATTTGACGGCATTTAAGACGCATCCTTATTTAGACGGCCACACACAAGGGAAAAAAGTTTCAATAGCGTGGTTTCTTTTAGTTCTCATGTTTCGTAAAAGCCAAATAAACAATTATTGGATGCAATTACCTTCACGTATAAGACTGTGTCCTTCACGTATAAGACGCAGGTAACTTTTTTGAGACCAAATTTAGGAAAAAAAGTGCGTCTTATATGCCGTTAAATACAGTAATTTTTAATTTTTTACAAGTGTAAAAGAATTTAGTTTTAATATTAGTTTACTATCCTGAGTTATCTTAGGCAAATGGAGAAAAGTTAAATATTAGTCTTTGTATGATAGTTTTTGAAACAAGGGACAACACGAAGTGATACCTGACATTCTGTACATTGGTATCTGGTCTCTTTTTCTCACTGTATTAATTACTTCTGGAATCTCTTTTACGGAAACATAGAGAACACTGTCTCATTGGATTTGATTTTTTTTTTTCAGTAGCAGGAATAACATCTGGAAAATGTGCACCTCATTCACAATCTGAAAAATCACCGCTTTCGCTATCTTGCATCATATCCATTACTTTAATTTTTTTCAACACAACTATCCTTTTTTTTTATACATTACTAATCCACAAGCTGACGGATACTATACAATAGGGAAAATACGTGACCAGTTCCGCCAAAAGAATCGCGAAACCGATGAAACTTGGCAAACTGCCAATCAAAGCTGAATATTTCCTCCAGGCAGAGTAAAACCATGATAAAACAAATCATACTGACAAATTCTGCTGCACCCGAGTTTTCTAGGGATAATAATTAACTGCAATATATACGAGCGCAAGATAACTTAGGATAATCAGGCAAGCGGTTAAACAGCACGAATTTGGCATTTTTATTTCCAGCCAAAAAAAAAAAAAAAAAAAAAAAAGCTTGAATAATGTCATGTGAACTAAATTCAGGAGTGCTTTTCTGATTGTACACCAAATAGAGTTTTCTGTAGGAGAAAAGAGAAAAAAGAATACATTTTCTGAAAATTTAATGTTTTTTTTTTTAGATATATTTTTCAGTAAAATTTTTAAAATAAGGTCTGCAACATAATTAACAAAATTTCTGATGTATATTATGTGATATAATTCATTTTTTCCGTATATATATATATATATGTGTGTGTGTGTGTGTGTGTGTGTATAATTTTCAATGAAAATATTTCATGAAGCCTTCTATTTTGTGTCGTAAAGGTATGCTTTCTTATTGTTGATAAAAGAGAAAAAAATAGTGTATTCAGTAATGTTGATGTTTGTTAAGTTAACTGAAAACTGTATTTAATCTTTTGAAGGTAAGTATAATAATTTGAAAAGATGGAATTTTAATATGCTATTGTTCCCAGAATTCCATTAGAAAATAATAAACTGAGAACATTATGTAACTGACAATTTCAATTGAGCACATGGTTTAGAACATTGTAAAGGTTGAGGGCATGATTACAGTGGTAAGGCAACACATCATTCATTGAAGGTGCTATAGGAGAGCGCAATACAAATTATTGGTTGTGGTGCTTCTACCAAGGCAGTTTTGAACTTTTTTAAGATGAACTGTTCAAGATATGTTGGCAGAATATTGAAGCAGATCCATTAATCATTATCACAGATTTTACATGATTATCAGGCTTTAGCGAGCATTCTATTCTATTGTATTAAATATGCAAATACTTCTTCTTTTATGCTGCTTTACTACCATCCTGATACTTTGTTCAATTATATCTTGTTGAGATGCTACATCAGTGTTAAAGCCAAGTGAGCTTGGATGAAAAAGAGAGAGCTACCTGCAGAAATAAGGATTTACCTGCATAGCATGCCTTTTTCAAGAGTTTTAGATAGAGTAAAATGCTTGAAGCTGTTCTCACCAGTCTATAATCACCAAATTGTATTGTTAGCAAATACTGTCTCGCCAATATTATTTTAAAACATCCTTGAAATATACAACTATCTTCCTGACCTTTCTACGAACTCTGTTTGTACGAATCCTGCTGCACAGTGCAAAACTACATTGTACTAGCTACCTTCTTAAAATTAGTCGAACAAGGCTGGAAAGTTTTACTTCATCGTGTATAGAATCTTGGTCAGATCTTGAACAAACATACCGTCACTACAAACATACATTTTCCAGTTACTAATTTATGACTTTCACACTGATTGCAGCTGGATGGAATGCTAACAGATGTCTTTGCTTTAAAGACAGTTCACTTTTGTTATTATCTTAAAATAACATGAAGTACTAACTCTCAAACAATTGCAGAACTATTGAAACATGGCCATTACAGGTAGAAGACTGCACAGCAAGTTCTCTAGTGTGGATCAGAACTTAATTAGTGGCTCTTTGCAATTTACCTAATACCTAACAGCGCAGAGTGCATATATTTCCTACTTGAATCATTTTAGCCTAAAAAATAATGGCATCTGCATTTGTGGTAATGTCGTTGCTGCTGATCACTATTTGTTCGACTGCATATATATACTAAAAACTACCATTTGAAAAGAATCCATGATCCACAGGACATGATCCATTTATTTATTTATTTTTCTCTCTATATGGAATATTACCTATGTTTTATATCTCTATATTACTTACTGATTATAATTTTAAGATTTGTGATCTTACTCAATAATGTGTGTATGCTTTTTGCTTTGCTATATTATTTATTATTTAATGCAAATAATGTAATGCACAGAATTGAATTGTCTAAACGTTTTGCCTGTTCTCCTTCCCTGCTAAACCTGTTACCATTAATTCTCTGAAAAATGTTCTTCTTTGGATGCACATGTTTGGTTTGCATCCCTGGGACAAACTGGCCCACCAGCGGCCGAGCAGTAAAGTAACTGAACACTGGTAGTTCGGTCTGAGGTTTGAATCCCGCGAATGGGCTGGCTGCATGAGCGTTTTCGGAGTTTTCCCAATGAGTAACGTGTATACAAGCCAGTTTCCCTTAGAAAATCCTCCACGAAGGCATTTCTCCTCTTAGGCAGATAGCCCTTGAGGCTTTGCCATAATCACACACACACACTTCCCAGGGACAGACCTGGCAGTATGGCACAAGTTCTTAAACATTTCTGATAACGGGGCTTTTAGTCAAAAAGTTAACTAAAACAAGTGGATGGCTGCACCATTATTGGTGGAGGAAATAGTTGAATTTTGTAGGAACAGAATTTAAAAATCTTTGTAAGACATGTCAGTAGGTCATTGGTATACAATTAGTTTGAAATAAGTAGGTATTGGGTAGTATGGAAGTCAGTAGGTATTGGGTAGATGTAAATGATGCCCATCTTTGGAAATCGCAGCTTTTTGGTTTCATACAAATTAAATATTTAGAATATGCTGCTAAGGTAGCCAAGCTTTCTCAGCAACTTAGTATTCATTGTTTGCTGTATTTCATCCCTTACCAAATGCATCATGAATATTCAACAAATTGAAATAAAATTGCTTTCCTTTTTTAAAGTTTTAATTTGAGAAATTTTTTATAGGTGGTGGGATTTAAAAGTCAGTAGTCTGAATCTATTGGCACCTCTAACAATATTACCTCACATGTCGTGTCAAGATGCAATTGATATCATGAACAGGGAAGGTTATGATCAGCTTCCTGTTGTTGATGATTCAGGGTAAGTTTAGAAATGTTAATAATAGTCTTTATTGAATTTTCTAATTTGAAATAAATTTGATAAATTACATGTTAGCCTTTTTATTGTTAGGGAAATAAAGGGTATGATTACACTTGGTAATATTATGGCAAAAATCATGGCTGGTAATTTGATGACCACTTCATTGGTGTCTGACATTTTGTATACAAAGTTTCATAAGGTGAGAAAGAAAGCTTATATTTTCCTTTTTATTGTGTGCATTAGAATTTATATGCTTATGGGAGAGAAACTTTCATACAGATTTTGGCATATGTATGTGTGTAATTTTGATTATTATATTTTTAAATTATTACAATGTTTAAAGAAGAAATTCAACTTTTTAAATTTCATGTTATAATAATATTTATATATGTTTTAATAATAGAGAGATTCCTGTAGCTGTAAAATAATTTTATAGAAACAATCTTAGTTATGCAACTCCATAAAAACAAATAAATTCTTCATAAAATAAAATATTTGTGTAACATACATAGATACAGTAATGTTTAACAAATAAATACAATCAAAAGTCGTTAATTCGGACACCCATAATCCGGACCTCAAAGCAACAAACCCTCTGTGCATGCGTCGCGTTGACGCATGCGCAGAGAGGATTGAGGTCAGGACTGTTTCCTGGCCATGACAACAATTTAATGCTCTTTCTACAAAACCACTCTTTCAATATTTTGGCCATTTGGCAAGGAGCAGAATCCTGCTGAAAAATAAACGAAGCATTATTGGGAAAGATCTCTGATGGAAGGTAGAAATTTTGGTTCTAGAATGTGTCAATGTATTTTCGGCATTCAGTGTCCCATCATGACATGAAGCAACCAATAACCATCTGCTGACATGCATGATCAAATCATAATACTAACTGGGTTCTTCACAGTTTCTTGAATGCACTCAGGAAGTAGCTCTCTCCTATTCTACATATTTTCGCCCCATCACATACCGAATAATGATATCTTAGTTTCATCACTCCATATAAACTTGTGACCACTGATCATCTTCCAATTAACATGTTCCTTTGCCCCTGTAGTCTTTTTTTTTTTTTTTTTTTTGCTGAAATTAAGATAAAGCTTTTTTGTGGAATTCTACCTCTCAGTCCAACATCTGTTAATCATCTCCTGATTGTTCTTGAAGCTCAGTTGCTGGCCTTCATCAGGCTCCTAGGCTGGGACAGCCATATCCTGTGCATAATTCATTTTGGATAAGCATGTTCTGGCATAACATGTTGGAGAGGATAATAGAGGAAGAATATTCCTCAGAAGAGTTCAGTGATTGTGAGTCATGGCATAAGTAAGTGATAAGCAATTGACGGTATTAAATTTTGAGCCTTGCGTATTCACAACTCGTAGGGTCAGAACGTCCGTCAGGAGAGATAGGCATAGCAGTCACAGCTTCGACGTCCGGCGCTCAAATGAGTGAGAACGGGTAGGGCATGTCCATGGTAGAGTGGGAGGAGCTACTGGTCATGCGATCCAATGGGAGTCCTGGAAAGAGAGTGCATTTCCTTGCTCGACAGGCATGGTGGGAAAATTTTAAAGTTAAAAACTTCGTTTAAATCCTGGGTACGTTAATATGATGAAAAAAAAGAGAGTTGTCTAGACTATACAATAACATTAAGTAACGGATTCTGGCTGAATAAGTTGGCTAATTTTAATGAGTTCTGAACTAAGTATAAAATAGGATAATTGGACATATCAAGTGATGGTGTGATGCATTATTGGTTCCTATTCTGTATGACAGATGGCGACACATGCCGTGCGTGTGCTTTGAGAATTGCATGTATGGTGAGGGAATGCAAACATAACATAGCTATTGAAATGCAAAATTTAGTAATTAAAGCAGTAGATAGATTAAATTAAGTGCCGGAGAACTGCTCCGGGTCTTTTTTTATTAGCTTCGCTATTGTAATCATAATTTAGTCTTGGATGGAACTGTTGTTAATCTTTTCTATGTTGTTGAAGAATTTCCGTGCTATTTTTGCTATGTGTATGCTAATACTTTCAATATTTATTCATTCTGGATCGCCTCGTTTCTGAAACCAGGACTGTTGGATATAATCCTCAGCACGACATTTTGACTTTGCTGAATTTTAAGCATGTGGGTTTTGCACACATAACCCCAGACTGGGCAGGCATAGGTGATAATGGGTCGCAACATGGATCTATATACATGAAGTTTATTGTATAGATAAACGGAGTTTCGGGCAATTAGGGGGTTGAGTAAGGCTTTAGTACCTCGAAACTTGTTTTCAAAACAAATGTTATGTGTGGGGCCCAAGTGAGTTTTTGGTCTAAATGACTCCGAGATATTTGGCTTGCTTGGCCCAGGAATACTGATGTCATACATTTTGAGGGTGATACTTAAGTCGAAGATCCTTTCTTCGTGAAATAGACAGCTTCCGACTTTTCAACATTGATCTTGATTTTCCACTTAATCATCCAGGACTCTAGTGCATGGATGTGTTCTTGTAGTGCCTGTACGACTGCGGCCATAGACGCAGCTTGATATAGGATCGCGGTGTCGTCTGCATAGAGTGCTAGTGTTGTGAGAGGGTTGTGAGGGATGTCGTTCGTATAAATAGAAAATAGTGTGGGGGCGAAGCAAACTTCCTTGCGGTAAGCCGCCAAGGGTTACTTTCCGTGTAGAGTGAGTGTTGTTATAACGAACGACAAAGTATCTATCATATAGATAGGAATTAATGATGTTTATGATGTAATCTGGAAACCCAGAGTGATTAACTTGTATGTGAGACCCTGTAATCATACACAATCAAAAGCTTTCGATATATCGAGAAAGAGAGCTCCGGTAATGATGTTTTTTCTTAAAGCCATCAGCAATCATTTCCGTTACTCTGTATAACTGATCAGTGGTAGGAATGCTTCCGTCGGAATTCGTATTGCTCTTGAATCATGATGTTGGTTTTCCTGTAGGAAATCTTATATTCTATTTCAGGATAATAGCTTCAGCGATCTTGCTTAATGTCGACAGTATGAGACTGATTTGGCCTGTAGGAAGCAGCGCGGGTTGGATCTTTACCCGGCTTTAAAATCGGTGGCAATGATAGCAGTCTTCCAATTGGTGGGAAAGTGCTGGATTTTCGGATCATAGCGTTGATAAGTTTTGTGAGCTTGTAGAGCATCTTTGGTCCCATTTCCTTGATCATCTTTATTACTTATTTTATCCTATACCTGGACTTTTTCGATTCTTTCTCTTCTCGATATAACTACTAACCTTCTGATGGCATAATTAAGGGTGTGTTGTTTGTGTGTGTTTTTGTTTGGAATTGTGTGATGAGTGTCGAAACAAGTGTTCTGTTTGAGGGTTAGAAATGTTGTGAGTGCGAAATTGAGATGCATAGTGATCTGCAATGGACTCAGCTTTCTCAAAATCGGTGTATGCGATCCCGTGGGGGCATTAATGGGCGGAATATTAGTGTTGCGTCTCTTAAATTTAGCAACAGCACTCCACAGTGAGATTATCATGTGGATAATGCTTCTAAGTGTCTGGCCCAGTCAAGTTGTGCATGTTTTTTAGTAGAGTCCTGACTTGTTGGTTTTAATTGATTAAGTAGAATTTTATCCGTAGGACATCTGAAACGCTGCATTGCTTCCGTGTGTGCGGTTTCTGTTCCGGATCAGCTCCCGGATTGCACTGTTCTTGTATCTTCTGTCAGCTCTCATTGCTTGCTGTTTTGAGTAAGGCATCTTGAAGCTCATCAGTGAATTCTTCAGTATAAGCTTCTAACGCATCCCTGGAATGTATCGTGGTGGTAGGGTACTGAGTGTGTTTAGAGCTTTGGCATAACCTGCCCAGTTTGTAAAAAGGGCTCTTTTGTGTGGTGTACTGTAGGAGTCGGTAGATATTTCCATCATCACCGGATTATGGTCAGAAGACAATTCTGTCAGACTTTCGACATAACTCAGGGGGTTGATGTTTTTTAATATAAAAAAATCCATAATTGATGGTCTACTTATCCCACAGTGTGTTGGTTTATCTGGTACTGCTAGGTGAATATTGGCCGCTAGGGCAATGTCGTGTATGACTCGTCCGTGTTGATTGATATCCCAGCAGTTCCACTCGCGGTGGTGTGCGTTGAAATCTCCACCTATGATGACTCGATTGTTAGTATTTAAAGTGTTTGCAAATCTGTCCGAACAGAATTTGTAGGTGAGTGTATAGGAAAATAGGTGGAGATAATAGTGAGTGGTCGTGATGTGTTTGGCGTGAGTGTCATAGCTAGGGCTTCAACCGCTAAAAGCTGTGGAAGTGGAGTGACATGATGAGGGATGGAGCGCTTAACTAAAATTAGCAGACCTCCTCGTGCATTTCCTCTAGGTGCAAATCTACCTTCGGTAGGCCTGTTCCATCGATGCGTTATATAATTGGAAGCTCTGAAATAATTTTGGGTACCAAGCATGTGTTCTTGTAGGAGTAAAATATCGGGGGAAACTTCATGTAGAAACTCCTTAAGCTCATAGGCTTTTTGGAGCAATCCATTTGCGTTCCACATGACAAGAGTGAGAGGCATATTAGGGTTGTTCTGATACATGATTATTGATTTCACTAACAATTTCGTAGAACATAAATAGCTTATCTATAGGGTCAGACAAGGTTTTCAATTTAGGTAAATAATTTTTAAATACGTTATTCATCAATCTAATATTATTGATACCTAAAATGTTGTTAAATTCGGCGATATTTTTCATAAAATTAAGGAATTCAGAGCCTTGTGGCTTCTCCTGGCTATCCATAACATTTTCATTTCTTTTACTATTAGAGTTATCACTATTGGTCATATTTAGATTTTTCAAAGCATTGCTTAAATCACTGAGCTTAATATTATCATTTTTCATTGAGTGCAAATTTTGTGCAGCAGAAGCCGATTCTGAGGGATAAAACTTAGTATTGCCATTAAGCATATTGTTATGTCGTTTTGCCATATCTGCATAGGAGATGCCTTTTCTTAGAGCGTTGTCCTGTTTTTGCTGGGCAGGTCTGTTTCGTGGGAATTTCTCACACCCACGGTATGAAGCTACATGGTTTTTGAGGCAATTGGCGCACTTGGGCTCTTCCATCCTTCCTTTGGTGGGGCAGTCCATGGTTTTGTGTTCTAGCGAGCACTTAACGCATCGAGGAGCAAAGTGACAATTTTCGGAGGAGTGGTGCCACTTT